CATCATGTGCAATCCCCATCCTCATGTGTAATCTCCATCCCCATGTCTAATCCCCGTCCTCATGTGTAATCCCCGTCCTTATGTGTAATACCTGTCCTCATGTGCAATCCCCGTCCTCATGTGTAATCCCCGTCCTCGTGTGCAATCCCCGTCCTCTTGTGCAATCCCAGTCCCCATGTGCAATCCCCATCCTCATGTATAATCCCCGTCCTTATGTGTAATCCTTGTTCTCATGTGTAATCCCCATCATCATGTGCAATCCCCATCCTCATGTGTAATCTCCATCCCTATGTCTAATCCCCGTCCTCATGTGTAATCCCCGTCCTCATGTGTAATCCCTGTCCTCATGTGCAATCCCCTTCCTCATGTGTAATCCCCGTCCTCATGTGCAATCCCCGTCCTCATGTGCAATCCCAGTCCTCATGTGCAATCCCAGTCCTCATGTGCAATCCCCTTCCTCATGTGCAATCCCCGTCCTCACGTCGAATCCCCGTCCTCACATCTAATCCCCGTCCTCATGTGTAATCCCCTTCAAAATGTGCAATCCCGTACTCACGTCTAATCCCCGTCCTTAAGCGTCTAATCCCCGTCCTCACGTCTAATCCCCGTCCTTATGTCTAATCCCCGTCCTCATGTCTAATCCCCGTCCTCATGTGCAATCCCCGTCCTCATATGCAATCCCTGTCCTCACGTGCAATCCCCGTCCTCATGTCAAATCCCCGTCCTTATGTGCAATCCCCGTCCTCATGTGCAATCCCCGTCCTCACGTCTAATCCCCGTCCTCATGTCTAATCCCCGTCCTCATGTCTAATCCCCGTCCTCTTGTGCAATCCCCGTCCTCGTGTGCAATCCCCGTCCTCATGTCTAATCCCCGTCCTCACATGTAATCCCCGTACTCATGTCTAATAGCCGTCCTCATGTAAAATCCTCGTCCTCACGTTTAATCTCCGTCCTCATGTCGAATCACCGTCCTCATGTGTAATCCTCGTCCTCATGTCTAATCCCCGTCCTCATGTGTAATCCTCGTCCTCCTGTCTAATCCCCGTCCTCATGTGTAATCCTCGTCCTCATGTGTAATCTCTGTCCTCATGTGTAATCCCCGTCATCATGTCTGACGTATTTTTCGTTATTTTGAAGCAGTGCTCTGTCTGTTGCCGGGGGTCCTAAAATAACCTGGTGTCCGCCTTGAGTGCTAGAGGTTCCGTTAATGGTTGGGATTCTTTCACGCGGACTTGGACTTCTAGTAATTGCCCCTACTCTCTGGGTAGTGAGATCGGACGCCCGTGTGCATTGTTACGCACGTGAAAAATCTCTTGGCAAATGGAAATCGAAAACAGTAGATTAACGGCACTTCCCAGGCAAAATTTGGAGTTGAAAATCGATCCAAAGTATTTCAGGATCCTCGCCGGTGCTACAGAGCATGTGCACTGTGCTGAGCTTCTTCGGACTCGGACTTGAGTTTGAAGAAAGAAGGGAGCACTTATGGGTTACTACCTGTGTGCCATGATGCTGATCCGTTGTTCAAATCTTAAACCTGAATCTTCACTGGACACGGATTTCTCCATACTTACTCCATTCCTGTGCCAATTACTCTCTCTCTCTCTCTCTCTCTCTCTCTCTCTCTCTCTCTCTCTCTCTCTCTCTCTCTCTCTAATATATATATTAGACTTGAGGACGGGGATTAGACTTGATGACGGGGATTAGACATGAGGATTAGATATATGTATATATATTTTTTCTGTTGTATTTTGATGACGTGTACTGACAGAATGTTGCGGTAACAAGAAACCCGGTGGCACACGCAAGCTTGTTACTGACGAGGACTCCTACATCCTAGGTAAGGAAATATGTGTCACTTCTGTCCCATTGTTTGTTGGTTCGTCCTTGTTCTCGTTTTTATACTACATTGTCTTCTGTCTTGATGTTTACTTGGTTGTTCTAAGTTTTTCTAGTCTCGTCGTTTTCTGAAGTGATGCTTACTTCGCTGCTCATTTCACTCTTTCTCTCTCTCTCTCTCTCTCACACACACACACACACACACACAAACAACACTCTCGTACACATAAGACATCTCTCCTACAAATACAGCGTCCCACCTACATGTACAATATACCACCTACATGTACAATATACCACCTACATGTACAATATACCACATACATGTACACTATACCACCTACACGTAAAATGTACCACCTACATGTAAAATAAACCACCTTCATGTACAATATACCGCCTACATATACAATATACCACCTACATATACAATATACCACCTTCAAGTACAATATACCACCTTCAAGTACAATATACCACCTACATGTACAATATACCACCTACATATACAATATACCACCTACATGTACAATATACCACCTACATGTACAATATACCACCTACATATACAATATACCACCTACATATACAATATACCACCTACATGTACAATATACCACCTACATATACAATATACCACCTACATGTACAATATACCACCTACATGTACAATATACCACTTACATGTACAATATACCACCTACATATACAATATACCACCTTCATGTACAATATACCACCTACATATACAATATACCACCTACATGTACAATATACCACATACATGTACAATATACCACCTACATGTACAATATACCACCTACATGTACAATATACCACCTACATGTACAATATACCACCTACATATACAATATACCACATACATGTACAATATACCACCTACATGTACAATATACCACCTACATATACAATATACCACCTACATGTACAATATACCACCTACATGTACAATATACCACCTACATGTACAATATACCACCTACATATACAATATACCACCTACATGTACAATATACCACCTACATGTACAATATACCACCTACATGTACAATATACCACCTACATGTACAATATACCACCTACATATACAATATACCACCTACATGTACAATATACCACCTACATGTACAATATACCACCTACATGTACAATATACCACCTACATGTACAATATACCACCTACATGTACAATATACCACCTACATATACAATATACCACCTACATGTACAATATACCACCTACATATACAATATACCACCTACATGTACAATATACCACCTACATGTACAATATACCACCTACATGTACAATATACCACCTACATGTACAATATACCACCTACATATACAATATACCACCTACATGTACAATATACCACCTACATATACAATATACCACCTACATGTACAATATACCACCTACATGTACAATATACCACCTACATGTACAATATACCACCTACATATACAATATACCACCTTCATGTACAATATACCACCTACATGTACAATATACTACCTACATATACAATATACCACCTACATGTACAATATACCACCTAAATACGCAATACATCATCTACACACTCAACATCTCATCTACAAACAACATGTTACCTACATACACAACATATCATTTACACCCAACATATAATTTACAGACACTATATCGTCTAAAACGTAAAAAAAAAAAATCATTCAGAGCAAGACGTTGACCAAACCTGGATGGATATTAAAATATAATTGAAACCACTGCAGAAGAATATCTTGGTGTGTCCACCAAAAACGGAAAGAACAAATGGTTCGATGAAGAACATGTGAAGAAGGAGTCAGTTAAAAATAATTATTAAAAAAAACACGTGCGAGGCAGATTTGGCTAAATGATACTAGTAACATACGAAATGAAGTCAAATATAGAATAGTAGGTAAAGAAGCTACAAAAGTAGTTAGGCAGCTAAAGCGAGAATACACCAACAATATTGTCATGGATACGGAAGCTAACAATCAGAACAACAAATTCAAAAAAAATTTTTTTCTTTAAAGAACCAAAGGCTGTAAAACAAAGGCATTAGCACAGCATAGATGGATCAAAGCAGGGGTTCTCAAACTTCCTAATGCCTCGACCCTTTAAAACAGTTCCTCGTGTTGTGGTGACCATTTAAAACAGTTCCTCATGTTGTGGTGACCATTTAAAACAGTTCCTCATTCTGTGGTGACCCTTAGCCATGCAATATTTTCGTTGCAGCTTCATAACCTCAATGGATATGAGTTTTTTTTTTTTCGACGGTCTTAGTCGACCCCTGTGAAAGGTTTGGTCGACCCTCAAAAGAGTCGAGACCCACAGGTTGAGAACCACTGGTTAAAAAAATCACAGTGGGAACATGATGATTAATAATGAGGAAATATGTGAAGGATGCAAGGAATAGTTTGCTGCATTCCTAAATTGTGAAAGTCAGCTTAATACATATCCACAGGACGAGAAAGTTACATGTGAACCAAATATTTAAGAGCCTGATTTTGAAGAAGTACTGGGTACACATCACGAAGGTGCCCTCATCTCGCAAGGCGCAAGATTTCCCACAGACTGTGGTACTTGGTAGGATAGTCTCCTTTTGTTAGTTGCAACGCTATAAACAATCTATATTCCCCGTAGTTAGGGGACATCACGTTCTATTTTCTAAATTGTCAGCGGTCGACAATGTGGGTGTTACTTGCGTTGTGCGTTCGCTCTTCATCACCATGACTACGGCGTCAGTTGGCGACTTGACCTTCGCATGAATTTCCCTAAACTGTCAGTATTAGTAAAAGTAGTAAAGTAGAGATCCCTTTTAACGCCTTTAGGCGCATCGGGCATATGGGAAGAGCACCCATATTTTTACAGACCAATCGACACTCGGTGGGTAACGTGGTCAGCATTACGCCCGCCGTCTTTACTTTCCCAGGACAGCCCATCCCGGTACCCATTTGAGGCTGGGTCGACCTGCGACGTCCCATACAACAATAAAAATCCACGCAGCCCTTGGGTTTCGATCGAGGTACGTTGGATTTCGAGTCGGACTCGCAACGCCTTAAACTGTCAGTATTGGGGAGCGTTAAGCAGAGTAGCTGACGGCCCTTCTCAGATCCCACACACAAAAAAATGCCACTGAGTCTCAAATCAGTAACGGTTGCAGAAGAGACGTAGTTGAGTAGTTGATCTCGCTGGCGAAAAAAAAAAAGTCGCTCCGAGTCGCCTGCCACGAAAGAGACCTCCACAATTTCGTCTCCGGCCTTGAGTGAACTGGCGCCGCTTTTCCTTTCCGTTGTACCAAATGGTACGCTGAAACCTTACAACCACTGCCCCCCCCCTTTTTCCCCCCTCCTGGCTTAGCGATAACCTGCCCACAGTCAGGCTCGGAATGCTGAGGAAGAAAAAGAAAAGAAGAAGAAGATATCATCTACACACAGCGTCTCGCCCACAAACACAACATATCATTAACACACACAATATATCATCCCCACACACAACATATCATCCACACACACAACATATCATCTACACACACAACATAGCATCTAAACACACAACATATTATCTGGACACACACCATATTATCTACACACACAACTTATCATCTACACACACAACATATTATCTACACACACAACATTTCATCTACACACACAACATATAATCTAAACACACTACATATCATCTACACACAAAGCATATTTTTTATACACAAAACATATCATCTACACTCACAACATATCATCTATGCACACATAATATATCATTTACACAGAACATATCATTAACACACACAACATTTCATTACCACACACAACATATCGTCTACACAGACAACATTTAATCTACACAATCAACCTATCCTTAACACACACAACATATCATCTACACACACAACATTTCATCTACACATAACATATCATCTACACTCACAATATATCATCTACACACACAACATATCACCTACACACACACTATCATCTACACATAACATATAATCTACACTTACAACATATCATCTACCCCTCACAACACATCGTCTACACTCACAACATATCATCTACCCCTCACAACACATCATCTACACTCACAACATATCATCTACGCTCACAACATAACATCTACACTCACAACATATCATCTACGCTCACAACATATCATCTACGCTCACAACATAACATCTACGCTCACAACATAACATCTACACTCACAACATAACATCTACACTCACAACATATCATCTACGCTCACAACATAACATCTACGCTCACAACATATCATCTACATTCACAACATATCATCTACACACGCAACATATTATCTACACACAGCATCCCATTAACAAACACTCCTACTTATAAGTATATTGCTATTTCTATACCACCCCTGGCAGTCTGTAAACAAAAGCCCCTGGAGCTGAGTATCATCCTGGACGCCTCCAGATCCGTCTCTGACAAGGACTTCGAGACTGCCAAATCCTTCGTTGAAGATTTTGTCAGCGAGTTCGCGGTGTCACCCGCGAGGGAGGGAGTTCGAGTCTCTGTCGCCACTTACGGCCGATACGTCTTCACACAGGTATGTACAATACAAAACTATCTGTACAATCTGTGCAGCTCTGGTGGGTACCGTCGGTGTTGAATGTCCATTGTTGTTGAGTAAGAATGGATAGTCGACACACATGTGGTTACAAAATATCATCTCACGTCAATATTTCACGTTATTATCCCCATCGTCTTCATCATTGTCATTATCATCCTCACCATTCATCATCATCATTATCTAGAGTCATTATATGTGATAGAGAACTCGCACTCTAGTCCTCCATTCCATTACATAGAGTGCAATTGTTTGGATACTATAAAGGGAGTCTAGAGTCGTTGGTCTCTCAGATAAACGCTTCAGTTGCCCTCTGAATACGAAACGTACAAGATTCACGAGTGAAAACGGATCTTACAGTAGCAGCGGGCAGGGAACACCTTCTGCATGATGCCTCAACTGAAGGGAAATATCATCTACACTCATTGGCTGAAAAGAAGTAGCTCTTGGATGGCACAGAATAGAAAGCACGATCGTAAATGTTTTTGCTACTGACAAGATAGAGCAAAGGCGAAGAAGGGGTTACAGTGCCGCCCGGCAAAACAGACTTGCACAGAGTGATAGTTACCTTAGGACAGGGATGCCGGGAATGGATAGTTAGTGAAACAGTCAGCGGTGCAAGAACTGATCAATGAAAACTCAGCCCCAGGTGACATCATAAATATTCACATGGGTCTACAGTGAGAGGTGAGAAGAATGGGTGGGGTTTTATTGCAGAGGTGAAACAGAGGTTTTAGATTAATCCACTTCGCTAACTGGTCTAAATATTTTTGGGTCCAGCATTATATATCTTATTTACCGCTGACGTGAGGAAAAAAGGTCTTTTACCTTCCGCTTTTCAGACTTAACAATAAGCATCAATAAATACACCAATATTGCAGGGAATCAAGTGGATATACTGTTCGGGAAATGCAGGTGTGCGAGGGAATGAAAGAGGGGATTTTCTGGCTGCAAACGCAAAAGCTACAGGAAGACTCGTACTGGACAAGGGAGATATTCTGAAGACCATGTATGAACGAATGTTGACAGTGGACACGCGATAACATGAAACAACATGTGTACCAATTTGTGAACAAGGAATTAGGAGTGGATTCGGCAAGGAGGAACGAATGAGATAAAAAGAACGACGTGTGTATAATCAGTGTGATACATGAACAGAGAGCATCTACACCTTAAGACATTGTGCTGCGGGAGATGGAGCCTCTATGGGTATACCCGGTGTGCTATGATGTGGATTTCTAAATCAGTAATCAGTAAAACAGGACTTGGGATCTTCGTTTCCAAGTGATACAACCTTTTGACACGTTCTCTGAAGGTCGTTGTTTGTTTTACGGCTGCATCGTTCAGTTAGCGAGTGCAGTTTTCTTATGAAGATCCCCGGGGACCGTCTTTGAAGCTACGGAGTTTGAGCTTTGTGCGACGCTCTCGACAGGTGCTTAGCGGTTTTGCGGAGTGATACCGGCCAAATGGGTCGCCATCGTGTCCAATGAAGTGGATCCTGTCGACTTTTGACTCACACGTCCCCTTTTGTCTCCAGGAGGGTTTCAACCTGACAACATACAACACAGAACAGGACGTTCTGAAGGCCATCTGTAATATCAAGCACGGGCATGGAGACTGGACACGGACCGACCTGGCGATTGATTACATGCACCAGGTACAGATGGCCAGCGATGTGGTCAGGCCTTGGGCGGAGAAAATCAGCGTGGTCATCACTGACGGAGACTCCACTTAGTGAGATTCTCTTGTCTGTTTTGTTGTTGTTGAGTGGACAGTATATTATGGTCTGTTTCTGTTGAGTGGACCGAATATTCTTGTTTGTTTTTCTTGAGTGGACCGTATGTTATTGTTTGTTTATGTTGAGTGGACCGTATATTATTATTTTTTTTTTTTTTTTTGGTGAGTTGACCGTATTTATTGTTTGTTTCTGTTGGGTGGATCGTGTATTATTGTTTGTTTATGTTGAGGGGACCGTATATTCTAGTTTGCTTCTGTTGATTATAAGGTATAATGTTGTTTGTTTCTGTAGAGTGGACCGTATATTATTGTTTGTTTCTGTTTAGGGGACCGTATATTCTAGTTTGCTTCTGTTGAGTTGATTGTATATTATTGTTTGTTTCTGTTGAGGGGACCGTATATTCTAGTTTGCTTCTGTTGAGTTGATTGTATATTATTGTTTGTTTCTGTTTAGGGGACCGTATATTCTAGTTTGCTTCTGTTGAGTTGATTGTATATTATTGTTTGTTTCTGTTTAGGGGACCGTATATTCTAGTTTGCTTCTGTTGAGTTGATTGTATATTATTGTTTGTTTCTGTTGAGGGGACCGTATATTCTAGTTTGCTTCTGTTGAGTTGATTGTATATTATTGTTTGTTTCTGTTGAGGGGACCGTATATTCGTGTTTGTTTCTGTTGATTGTAAGGTATATTGTTGTTTGTTTCTGTAGAGTGGACCGTATATTATTGTTTGTTTCTGTTTAGGGGACCGTATATAGTTGTTTGTTTCTGTTGAGTGGACCGTATATTACTACTTGTTTCTATTGAGTAGCGGGTATAATATTGTTTATTGATATTGAGTGGACCTATATTATTGTTTGTTTATGTTAAGTGGACCGTGTATTCTACCCTCAGTTTCATTCAGATTCACTCGTCTTTGAGTGCACGATGAATTCAAACCTCAGATTCACTCAGATACATTCATCTTTGAGTGGACCGTGTATTCTACCCTCAGATTCACTCAGATTCCCTCGTCTTTGAGTGCACCATGAATTCAACCCTCAGATTCGCTCAGACGCATTCATCATTCAGGCGATGAAGCCTGATTGAACAGAGCCAGAAGATAGACCACAGAAATGACAGAGATCCTGAAATGTACTGTATAATGAAGTAAACAAAAGGACCCGTTTCAGAGACCTCTTCCTGCCCTGACGTAGCGAGTCATTCTAAGATTCATCCTGCGGATACTGTGGACAAACTCTAACGTGTACGCACTTCCATAAACGCCTCTCCAGTCCCTCACTTTGATGTACACAATCAGAACCACTCTCCAGTACCCTAACTTGAATATATTCCCTCATGACGCATCTCTGGTACCCTCACCTGCATGTCCTTTTCCCCAGTACCCTCATTTTGATGTACTCTCTTAGATCTTCTCTCAAGTACCGTCACTTTGATGTACTCCCTCAGATCTTGTCCCCAGTACCCTCACTTTGAGGTACTCTCTCAGATACTCTCAAGAGTACCCTCAATTTGATGTAATCCCTCCTATATACTCTCCAGTACCCTTACTTTGATTTACTCCCTCAGATTTTCTCCTCAGTACCCTCACTTTAAGGTACTTCCTCCTATCTTCTCTCCAATACCCTCACTTTGATGTACTTCCTCAGATCTTCTCCCCAGTACCGTCACTTTAATATACTCAATCATAACGTCTCTCATTTACCCCTCACTTTGATGTACTCTCTCAGATCTTCTCTCCAGTAGCCTCACTTTAAGGTACTTCCTTCAATCTTTTCTCCAGTACCCTTACTTTGATGTACTTTCTCCTATCTTCTCTCCAGTACACTTACTTTATTGTAAAAAAAAAAAAAAAAAAAAAAAAAAAAAAAAAAAAAAAAAAAAAAAAAAAAGTAAGGATCCCTTTTTACGCCCTAGGCGCATCGGGCATATGAAAAGAGAACCCATATTTTTACAGACCGTTGGCACTGGGTGGGTAATTTGGTCACTTTAATGTACTCCCTAAAAACATATCTCCAGTACCCTCACTTGCATGTACTCCCTCATAAAGTCTCTCCCGTACCCTCACTTGCATGTACTCCCTCATAACGTCTCTCCAGTACCCTCACTTGCATGTATTCCTTCAGATCTTTTCTCCAGGAACTCACTTGAATTTACTCCTCCATAACGCCTCTCTAGTACCCACACTTTGATGTACTCCATCATTACGCCTCTCCAGTACTCTCACTTGCATGCACTCCCTCATTGAGCCTCTCCAGTACCATCACTTGCATATACTATCTTATTATGCCTCACCAGTACTCTTAATTCGATGTACTCCCTCATCACACCTCTCCAGTACCCTCACTTGCATGAACTCCTTCATTACGCCTTTCCAGTACTCTCACTCGAATGTACTCGCTCATAACGTCGTTGCACTACCCTTACTCTGATGTACTCTCTCACTACACCTCTCCAGTACCCTCATGTGTATACACTTCCACCAAACATCGCTCTAGTACCTTTGCTTACATCTTCCCACAAACAGTCCGGCAAAAACAAAAGCAGCAGCTGAAGCAGCCAGACAAGCTGGGATCAAGCTGTTCGCCGTGGGAGTAGGTAGGGTCAAACAGACAGAGCTGTTGAACATCGCTGGCGACCAGTCCCGGGTCATAGCCGTGGCAAACTACGATAAACTGGACTCCATCAGTGAGCCTCTGTCCAAAGAGATCTGCGAAAGTGAGTTGTGTTTGCCTGAAACTTAGCTGGTGTGTCACATGATAATGTTGTTTCTAGTGTCAGAACCTGACTGTTCAGGCAGCTGAAAGTCTCCTGTAGCCCCAGAAGGGGGCCCTAGTTATTTTTATAGAGGACTGAGGGACCCCGACTCTTTCCCCGCACCCCTTTCACCAGGGGATCCTAACACCCCACCCCACCCCATCTCCTTCACCACCTTTTTTTTCCCAACACATTTTTTAAGAATAGAATGTTTATTTGTAAAGTATCCGATAACACATTTCATAAAATCTCAATTGAATTCTTAAACGTTGTGCAATTCTAGACACAATGTTACAGACCATTGGCAGCTTTGACACTGATGGTGTTCACAGACTCCGGAACCTGGAACCTTGTCCTCGTGAACCCCATCCCTCAAATCTGAGCAGAACTCATGCCTCTCAAGCATGACGTAAAGGTGCTAAGCATCCATGTCACTAAGCAGCCGCTTTTATCCACATAAAATGCTTTTCTTTAAACACATTTGTTAAGAGATTTCCTATAATCTTATATATATATATATATATATATATATATATATATATATATATATATATATATATATATATATATATATATATATATATATATATATATGAAATTCACTACCGTATTCTACTACTCTACTATATTACGTTCTACACTTAGGGTAATGACATTCAAGGCCCCCCCTCCTCCCGTTTCTTTTTGCCTAGACAATGTGTAAGTCCAAGAGGCCAGTGCCCCCCTCCCCCACCACCTATAATTTCTAGGCGACTGCAATTTTTTTTTTTGACAATCAAACTGGTGTCTTCAAAACCCCTCATAGTTTTACTGTACACGGAGAAAGGATCCTTAATTTGAAACAACAACATTTGATAAACGATTACACAAGGAGGGAAGAGGAAAAGAAGAACACAACACTGACAAGGGAAGTGTTATCATCAGTTCTCGTTATGCCTAGTGGCACATGAGGCTTCAGAGAGGACTTTCCATGCTTTCCTGTCCTGTGCAGTCTTCAGTACAGTTTTCCATGTCAAAGATGCCGCACTCATGTCACTTTCCATAGTTCGTCTCCATGTTGTTTTTGGGCGCCAAGGAAAGTGTTATATGATATAAGAAACATCAAGCAAAATCTGGAACAGACAAGAGTTAAAAGAAGTTAGGAACCGAAAACAAAGAAGGCCAAGGCAGACAACGAGAATATTAAAGAGGTTGGAAACATAAACCAGACATCTAAGACAAGCAGTGAGAATGCTAATATATGACGTTGACGGCCGAAAAAAAAAAAAAAAATCATGAAAGTGTTCAAACCTAAAAATGAAAAAGAGGTTAAAAACAAAAAGCCAACGACATACAATATGAGTGTTCACAAAGTCCGTTTGCAGAAAATGGGATACATGAAAACTGAGCTTTGTTTTCTCTTCACAGAGATACCCAAGCCAACGACACCTCCCCCGCCCAAGACAAGTAAGTATTACGTTTATAAGTAAGTAAGTATTACATTTAAAAGTAATTATTTCATTTATATTGTCTGCAATACCATCCGTTAACATTTTTTCTTCCCAATTCTTTCTTTTTATCATCACTTGTTCTTTCTCATTCTCCTCTGTTACCCATTGTTCTTTCCACTTGTCTTTTGTTATCTCGATTGTTCATCCCAACTCTCTGCTGTTATATCATTTATACTTCCTCTCTGTTCTTTTCTGTTCTCATCTATTATTCTTTCCCATTCTCTTTTATTATCATCAGTTGTTCATTTCCAGCCTCTTCTGTTAACATCCAGTCTTGTTCATTCTCTTAACTTATTATTGCTAGTTCTTGTGCATTTTTATTCTACAATTGATTGTCCTTTCTCATTCTTTTCTGCTATCATCGATTGGTCTTCTCCAGTCTCTGTTATCATTTATTTTTTATTTCCCATTCTTTTTTACTATCATTGATTGGTCTTCTCCAGTCTCTGTAATCATTCATTTTTTAAATTTCCATTCTTTTCTGGTATTATCCATTTAGCATTTATTTCTCTTCTGTTATCACCGGTTTGGTCATTTTTTTCCTCATCTGTCAACCATTGTTCTTTTCCCTCCTCTTCTGTTATCATCGATTGGTCATTTCCCCTTAATCTATCATCCATTGTCCTTTGCCATTTTCTTCTGTTATCACCGATTGGCTATTTTCATCCTAATCTATCATCCATTGTCCTTTCCCCTTCTCTTCTGTTATCACCGATTGGTCTTTTTTCATTCTAATCTGTCATTCATTATACTTTCCCATTCTCTTCTGTTATCACCGATTGATCTTTTTCATCCTAATCTATAATCCATTATCCTTCCCCATTCTCTTCTGTTATCACCGATTGGTCTTTTTCATCATAATCTATCATCCATTATCCTTTCTCATTCTCTTCTGTTATCACCGATTGATTTTTTTTCATCCTAATCCGTCATCCATTATCCTTTCCCCTTCTCTTCTGTTATCACCGATTGGTCTTTTTCATCCTCATCTATCAGCCATTATCCTTTCCTATTCTCTTCTGTTGTCACTGATTGGTCTTTCCAATTCTTTTATCACTAAGTGATAATTTTCCTCCTCATCTATCATCGATTGTATTTTCCCATTCTGTTCTATTGTCTCACAGTTTGGTCTTTCCAATTTTTTTTTTCTGTTATCATCTATTGGTCTCTTCCAGAATGCGGGAAACTGAATCCAGCAGACGTGTACTTTGCCTTCAGCTCTGCTGATCTGGGACTGGAAGGTACGGCCAAGGCCACGTCCTTCATTTCTAAGGTCATCACTCACCAGGACTTGGATGAGGGCTTCAGGGTCAGTTTGGTTGTTGTTTATGTATGAGTCTGTTGAACCTTTTTTATCCCTTAAAATAACACTTCTCAGGTATTGTTGGGTGTACAGCTAAGCTGTGATACCTGCGCTTTGGTGCTAACCACATTCAATTTCAACAAACCCCATAATTAGTTGCCATTTACGTCATGTTTACAGGGGATAATAGGGCTGTTCTACCCCCCCCCCCCATGGGCCCTGAGCGCACAACGGATATCGGTTTGATAGAATACCGTTGTGACAGTGTTCTGATGCTTCTTCCTTATTTATTCGCTGACAGGAAAGAGTTAACAGTTAGGACACTTGTCTGGATGTATCAACATTAGGACTTTCGGAGGATTTGACTAACTCTGATGTATCAACATTAGGACTTTCGGAGGACTTCAATAACTCGGCTGTATTAACAATATGATTTTCGGAGGATTTCACTGACTCTGCTGTATCAACATTAGGACTTTCTTTCCGACTTTACCAACTCTACTGTATCAACATTAGGACTTTCGAAGGACCTTACTCACTTTGAAGTATCAACATTAGGATTTTTGAGGACTTCACTGACGTATCAACATTAGGACTTTCAGAGGAATTCACTAACTCTGCTATATGAACATTAGGACTTTCAGATGACTTCACTAACTTTGCTACATCAACATTAGGACTTTCAGAGGACTTCACTAACTCTGCTATATCAACTTTGAAAGTATCAACATTTAGGATTTTTAAGGACTTCTGAATTATTTAACTGACGATCAATCAACATTAGAACTTGGGCTCACTACGGTTTACACTATTTGAGCTTTTGCAAGCTCTGGTGCATCAACATAACTCTACTATATTTGCATGAACTTAGCGAACGGAGGTTATTCGGGGGGGGGGGGGGGCGGGGGCGCGGTGCTCTAACTGCAATGACTGTTATATCTAGCCCTATCTCCACCTCGCTCTCTGACTCCTGCACCCTCCTCTCTATCTAACTCTCTTCTCTCTGCTTGTGGTCTCTCTGTCCCTGTTACTACTCCTTCTCAGCTGCTCTCAATACCTCTTGTTCACACTCTTGGTCTCTAGCTTCCCCTCTCTTTCGTCTCGCTCTGTCTTTCTCTGATACCTCTCTTCCTCTTCCTCTTCTTACTTCTCTCTCTTGTTCTTTCTCCTCTTTCCTCGATTCTTCCTACTTTCTTTCTTTCTTTCTCTTCTTTTCTTCTTCTCTTTTCTATCGATCTTTCTCTTCATTCATCCTCTTTCTCTTTACATTCTTTCTTTCTCTTGACTCTCTTCTCTTTATCTTCTGTTCTTGTCTCCTTCTTCTTACTCGTTCTCTCTTTCTATCTCTCTTCTTCGAAGGCTGCTCTCGCTCTTCTCTTGCATTGTTTCTTGCTTCCTTTTTCTTACCTGCTTCTATCTTCTTCTTCTCTTCTTCCGTTCTTTTCTCTTTCGCTTCTTCGTTTTCCCATTCGCTCTTTGCCTGTCTTCTTCTTCTTCTTTCTTGATCTTTCCTTCTCCTTGCCTGTCTTTCTTCTCTCTCCCTCTCTCTTTCTTGACCGTCTTCCTACTCTGGTCCTCTGTTTTTCTCTCTTCTACTCTCCCATCTTCTATCTTCCTCTTCGCTATCTTGACTCTTCGCTTGTTCCGGCTTACCTGGCTCGTCTCTATCTCTTCTCTTTCTCCTCTCAAACTCTTCTGCTATCTCTTCATCTTCTTCACTTTAGCTTTCGTCTCTTTCTTCTCGCATCCTTTCTCCTCTCTCCAATTTTCCTCTCTCTCTCTCGTTTTGGATCGAGTTTACTCTCTCTCTCCTATCCTTTTTCCTCTCTTCTGCTCTTCTTGCTCTTCCTCTTTCTCTCTAAAATTCTGCTGCTTCTCTCTACTCATCTTTCTTCCTCTTTTCTCTTTCTCTTCTTTCTCCTCTCTCTTCCTGAAGTCTTCCTCTCTCCCTTCTTCTTTCTCTCTCTACTTCTCTTTCCTTCCTACACTGTCTCTCGGCTTTGCTTACTTCTCTTTCTCTCTCTTTTTGTGTCACTCACATACTCTGGCCTCTCTACATCTTCTGGGCTGTCCCGCTTCGCTCGCTGCGATTCGTCTCCTCTCTCTATCTTCCTTCTTCTTTCTCGTCGTTCCCTTCCTTTCTTCTCATGTTCTTCTTCGCTTTCTTCCTTCTTCTGCTTCTCTTTTTCTCTCTGCTCTGGCATCACTTCAAGTTTCTTTGTCTACTTCTCCTCCCTCTCTGTACGCTGCTTCTGGGCCTGATCTTCTCCTTCTCTTCTTCTTTTGCTCTTTCCTCCGCCTTTGCTCTCTTTTCTTTCTCTCTTTTTTCTTCTACTTCTTCTCATTCTCTCTCTCCTTGCTCTGGTCTCTCTCCTCCTGCTGTCCCCTAGCACTCTCTGCGAAGCTATTGAATGTTTGAATACGGGAAAATGAGGATTGTCGTACACTTAGGTGCCTCAATATGAGGACTTTCGCACACGCATGTGTGTAATCATCAGGACATTCACCAGTTGAGTGTGTCAACGCTTTATCACAGAATACTGTCCTTGCACTGACGTCTAATGTTTGAGCCATGTAAGGATTTGCAGTCCAACATTGCAGTTCTTTAAACTACATAACCTAAGCAAGCTTGCCCACCTTCCACTAAAATAAATAACAGAATTTCTGTTCTTTTGTCGTCTCTGTGATACCAGGTCGCAGCCCAGCGTTATTGTGTTGTGTATTTGTCTTGTGTTTCTCGGGTGGCCCGGGGGTGGATTCTTTGTTTTGTTGGGTAGGTTACAGCTGCACAATATATCCATTTATTTCTTGGTCTTTCTCTCGCCTTCTTGCCAAATATATTGCTGTAAAAAAAAACAACAACAACTCCATACGCTGTTTAACCTGACTGCATTCTCACTAAATGGACTAACAATTTAATTCTTTGTCTACACACACACACACACACACACACACACACATATATATATATATATATATATATATATATATATATATATATATATATATGTGTGTGTGTGTGTGTGTGTGTGTGTAGATACATATATACACACAATAAAATAGTTGAATATTATAGAAAAAAAAAACCTGATTGGTCAAAAATGTCTTTTCCCAGTTTGGTGTGATTTCCGGTATTTGCCCCGATGACGCCGGGTTCAACCTGAAAGCCTACAGCACAGTCAGTCAGTATCGCACCAGACTGGAACAGTACGACATCGATCCCCTACCCCGTCTGACTGAGGTGAGCCACATGGATGTACTTCGTCCTTGGTAAAGATCTTACACCTACTAGATGTATCACAGGTAGAGATGATGCTCTGTGCCCTGTTAAGGACACCCTTTACTTGTGTCCTTGTCTCTGGTAAGTCTCCCCCCCCCCCCCCCCAGACACCTAACATCTCGACGAAATCCTTCATAATATTGTCCCGGATCTAACAATATATATTCTTGTTCAATTCTTGCATTCATGTAGACCTTTTTTTCCGTTGGCAGCAGCTGTAAACCCTTTTCTCCAGCCTTTCCCTTTCATATTCCTTGTTGTTCATATTCTGATAAATGCTATTCACTTGAGTTATGTAGACTGACATTCCAGGTTATGCTGGGATACCATCTTTACCAGTAGAGTTCCTATTTCAGGAGTACCGAACGTGTGTGATCACAGTAAATATATACATCTTAAAGTCTTAAATGATACTAGGCACTTTATACCAAAGGATATATCTAAAGGGTAAAGGTAAAAGGTCAAGTCGGGAGATGTAAACCAGCATCATTGTACACGTTAAAAACCACAAGTGCTCTGCCACCAGTACGGACAGCTATTAAGAAACTGTCCGCCTGTGTCGCCGTCCGCATGCAACTTCGTAACTACAGCGACGTTCCTCCATTGACCCCAGAGTGTCAACTTTGGTACCCATTTCCTAGAGGCTGGGTAAACCCCGAGAACCGCCCGGTTTCAAAAACCGGTCGTGGACTGCAGCGAGTCGCAGCTGGATTTGAAAGCGAGTCTCTTATCGACTGTGCTGACCTGGCTCCCTTAAAGTAGATATCTAATAGAATATGACTGATGTTTCTTTTCATCGGCGACTCGGTCGCTCATTTGCTTGGGTCTGACTCCTCTGATCGCAGTCAACACTGCAGATGACCTTTTCAGGGCTCTTGTCGGCGTGCATTGCTAGGCCATTTATTGTGGCGTACATAAACTAGTCACAATTATAACCTACAGCTACCCCTTCGGGAAATTTGTTTGAACATGACGATATTTTGGAGGGAGCAAAACAACTCAGCGATACTTCTCCTCCTGAGATGCTTGGCTTTGTCCTCTCTAGCGACTGTTGAGCGACGCTTACAGCGTGGACAATGGCGGCAGAACAAATGCCAGTCGTGTCGCGGTGATCATTACTAGCGGAACAGGAAACGAAATAGATGAGCTGACCCTTCAAGTGGAGCAGTTAAAACGGAATGGAATTAGGGTAAGTTTTGTTTGATCTCTTGGTGCCTTTTTAGTCATGTCATTATCATGATAAGTGCATTTTTTACCCTTGCCGTAATAATGGTAAACAGTAAGTAAATAAACAACCCTTTCCCACGCCTTCATCTATACTGGGCTAATAGGGCTAGACCTATATTTTATATCCCAAATAGCTGTACCCGGCCACGCGTTGCTGTGGCATAGTTTGGCTAAATGGAAAGCAAAGAAAATAGAAATCGCACGTGTCTAATACAATCATTGTTTGCTCAGATATAGAGATAGTCTTTGATCCCACCCCACCCCCCCCCCACAACTAAATCCACCTACTACCCTCTCCCTCATCAAAGGTTTTTGGAAAAGAAAGACAATGGAAATCGCACATGTCTAATATAGTTAATGTCGCAATCATTCTCTGCACATTTATATAGAGATAGTCTGGTTTTCCAACTTTAGAACACGCACCATATAATTGTGTCTTTATATTAGTGGTCGTTTAAATGGTGCTATTAGCCTCTCCCCTCCCCTCTTCCACCGACCC